TGGGGGGTAATTTAACCTGGGGATGGGTTTAGAAAGCGGGGGAGGGGGTAACCTATGGTGTGGGGTAGTCGAGGGGAGCTAAATACAATAATATCTGAGCAAACTAAAGTATATGGCCGTGTTCGCCAAAATAGAGATAGGAGGATATTTAAAGACGGTTTTCTGAAGCAAACATGCTATTCTTTCTATGGTGGTGTCAAGTTATACTCTTCAAAGGGAATGACCACTAAGACATGGTAGTTGAGTTGAGAGTACAGTAGTGTAGTGAACATATTCGGATTCATTTGAGACCTTTAATGTAACCAGATCCAGGTTCAGCGTGGATATCTCCTTTAATGTAACCAGATCCAGGTTTAGCGTGTATATCTCCTTTAATGTAACCAGATCCAGGTTCAGCGTGGATATCTCCTAGGGTATTTATGAAAAGATACCCAGAGGAATCCTGACAGGAGAGACAAGTTAGTAATGACCAGAACGGGACGGGGAGAGGTTGAGATTTAAACCTACAAAACACAGGTTTTCACAGGATTAGCATGATGGAGAATTGGTTGTTAATTCACGTGATTAATTCACGGCCCCTCCTTCTGTTATACTCGTGGTAAATCTACTTTTCACAATCTTGAAGATTCCTCCTGTGTAAAGCACGGATAAAAAACGCGAAAATATTCTTTGAAAATTCTCGTTGTTATTTCACATATTGTACACGTAGCAAAATAAGCCAGTGAAAAATCTTGCATATTCCTATCATGTTAAACTCGAGTAATGAAATGCCAGAATTTTTAGATTTTAATTCTCGTAATTATCACGTTAATATATTTGAGATAATTCTATAGTTCAATTCTTGTCGTTTTTTCACATGTTGTGCTCGTATCAAAAGTACCAGTGCAAGCTCTCGCATATTCCTAACTTGTTAATCATGAGTAATTGAATGCCAGAATATCTAGATTTTAATTCTTGTAAATATCACGTGTAAAATATTTGAGATATCACGGGAAGAACTTCATGTTTTATTTTTAACAGAGTTGCAAAATCACAACACTTGGTGTCTCTGCTCATCGCGCAGAGTATAGAAAAGTTTCACATTGAATTTTGTATTGTATTTCTCAACAACCCCTTTTTGGAATATCAATCTTTTAGATATATAAAGGAAGGAGCATTCTTACAATTATGAATACATTAACATATTTGAACATTAATCAGACTCGAAATATCACTTTGTGATAAGAAAAGTTTAAAGTTTACATGTTCAATATGTTCAATGTAAAAGATTTAATCTAAAATGTTTTCTTAACATTTTGTAATAACTGTATACTTTTACACAGTATATTTTATATTATATTTATATATCAAAAATCAATTATATACCCCCCCCCCTTCCAAGGGGTTTTTAAAAAATGCAATTTAAGTAGATGGTAGAAAAATAATTTTCTCATGTAAAAATCCCGTGTTCATCTCGTGAAATAAACTCAAGTTTTCAACGTGTAAAAACTCGGTCCTAGACCCGTGATCAAATCGTCGACATTCACCTCCACAACACGTGAATTATCACGGGATAATGACGGGTCACTAGTGTGAAATACACCAAATAATCTCGTGTTCTTCACGGGTTTTTTGTTTGTTGGGTACTATCGGAGCAAAGGGTTGATCTGTAATATCTGCAATCTCATTTGTATCAGTACTTTGTATCTAACCCTATAGGGTATTTCAGTGTAAATAATAATCATTTGTTCTTGTATTGGTTATGTTTATATAAAAAGACGTTTTTACGGTTTAAAATTGTTCGGCAAGAGAGAACATTTGATCCTCCATGGCGCCCCGGTCACTTCCTTCAACTGCATATTGTAAAGAAAACTTCAAATGTTAAAGTGTTGCTACAAAATATTTCAGAAACCTTTAAAATTTGGCGTTTAACAGCTTCTAATAAAGCATCAAAGAAATTTTATCTAACTGCTGAGGTTCAAGGTTTTGTTAAAAAAGGGTTTTCTTTAGGTAAAATAAACAAAACCATTTTGAGAACCCAAACTACTAGATTTTACTTGATGCTCATTGTATGTACTCCCAAAATGTAATTATACGAATAAGAACAAAGAATTTCATTTGTTTGCTAATAATGATTATTCTCTAACTGTATGAGGCTCCCTAGCTGTAGAATGCTAAGAATTAAATTAAATGATTTTGCGAATGAAGATCTTAATAATATTGCAGGGAATTTCCAATTTAGTTTGGAATTCAACAAATTTATCTATTTTTCCCACAGAAAATCAATCAATGGAGAACCTTGAGAATTGAATTTTTCCTTAAATCTTAAAATCTTTAAATCAAATTTAAATCTGAAGTCTGATAAGCTTGCTTTACTAAATGGAGTTTTTTTTTGCGAAATTTCGCACTTTTTTCGTGAAAATGAATTTGCGAAAGGAAGCGAAACGATGCAACATTTTCACGAAAAATAAATTTTTTTTTGCTAAACAGATTGATTTAAAAGAAATTCGATGAAATGCCAAATTTTCGGCGAAAAAGGCAAAATTTTTTGATGTTTAGATGCCAACTTCCCTGTATTGTAGCTGTAAGTAATTACAACCACTTACTGTAACAGCTCTATTTCATGCTATCTGAAATGTAAATTATATTATCATAATTTGAGTTTAGCTGTCGTCTTCCTATTCCACAGTTTTTTTGGGTCTTTTTGTAAGGAAAAAACATTAGTAAAACTGCAGTTCTATCTGATGTGTCACATTTTTCATGTGTAACCCTGTGTATGATAAATAATATATGTATATTGTATGTATATACATATATATATACTTATATATATGTTGTGGATGTATGTGTAGACGATACAAAAGTTGAATAAATATTTGGTTTGGTTGTGAATGCAAACTCTAGATTATTTTATTTGGTTGAAATATTTTGAGGAAAGGGAGAAGATTAAACAACTTATTCTCAATTCTGGATTAGAGTAACATCAAAACAGTCATAAAATTTACAATTTTCTAGATGTAATATTTATCTATAATGTTTGAAATATACGAATATTGCGAATAATGTACAGAATGCCCTGTAAAAAAGACAAAACTGATAAGGTAAAATTACTGTGACCATGGAACTCATCTAATTTTGATTTTAACCATACACGAGCAGCCTATAGTACATTTGAATTTCCGAGCCGGGTCAACCTTTCCGGTCCAAGTTTGTACTGTATCGCCCGGCCATTGGGTAAATAAAGCAGACACTCAATAGGACTAGCCGGTGCAACAAGGTTGACGCGGTCAGACTTTAAGTTAAATTTACTTTTACTAAAGGGTCAGAGGTGCGCGCGCAAGTAATAAAATACCCATTCCGGATACATTAAATTAAAATTAAAATTAAATTAAATTAAAAACATTTTCAATATTCTCCGCTGCTCTACAATAAGAGGAGTTCTGATTGAAAACGTGTAATATTTTAATCTTATGTGCATTTTATTCTAGTTCAATGTGACAATGTTTTTTTTTTTACAAAATTCAGCAAGAGGTTTGTTCAATGATAAATGAGAAAATTGCAATAAAAATATTTTGGTTTACTTTAATTATTCATGCATGGAAAACTTGGAATAATGGGTATGTATGTGTATTTAATAAAACATGTAATATATATATTTTGACCTGGAGTAATATTGCCAAATTCACCATATGCGTCAAAACAATTGAAACTATCAGGCCCAAATTAATGAAGCAACTTGCATTGAATAAAAAAAGAAGCATGGAAAAAAATGTTGACATTCATGATATTTAAGAATCTAGCAATTTAAAGACAAAAATCTGCAAACATAGCTAGGTGTTCCACAGTGTTGCCCCCTGCATATACTTGATAGTCTACATTCATTGCTTTTAATATTGAAGATATAAAGACTTAACAATTAATAGAATAAATAAATAGACTGGTAGGAGATGCATACAAATTAGTAAATTAGTACTAAACAAAAAGTATAAATTTTGGAGAAAATGTAATCTAGGAAAGATAAACAAATGTAATAATAAATCTGTAGACAATCGATCCTGTGAAAATTCAATTCCAATATTTAGAATATCAGAGCGAACACATAAACTTAATAAAACTGCCGATGACAGTTTTGCCAATTTTTAAACTTTTTTCAACTTTTCCCCTCTCCAGTGTTCGGTGGGTGTGAAGAGTAAACTAACTAATTTAAATAAAATAAGCCTATTTCTGGTTTTCGAATAAAAAATAAACAACATTGAAATAAATTAATGATTTTCTTTTTAAAAACCTGTCAAAAACTTTATATTTATTTATTAAATAAATAATTTCATGGTACAACAATAAAAACAAGGGACTGTAAGCGTAATTCAAAGTGATCCTTCATGTAAAGACAAAGATAATAGAATATATATTAGAGTGGAATTTACTTTAAAAAAGTGTAAAACGGCCATTTTGTTGTACTGTTCCCATACTGCAGGTGTACTTCACATATTTGTGCTATATAACCTTTTGGGCCCTGGAACATCATTTTATAGAAAATCTAAAATTGATATTAAAAGAAACCAAATTATGAATTAGGCTGGTTTCATAATTGACCAATGATCATTTCACATAGACTCTTTTCCTTTCACTTTACAAACGATGATTTTCCGTTATAACTATAAATCAATTGATGTTTTTATTCACCTAATTCATTTTATAAAGTTTATTTAACAGCTTTAAAAAATTCGAAATTAAAATGGATAGTCTAGGGAACATACTGTATTAATGTACTCTACTGCATATAATTTATGAACATCTACATGATTTGTACACTTTTAACTCCCTTTCAGGCTGAAAGGGACTGACAAAATTCAAACCGAGGGATTGTCTAAATTCCACTCTAATATATATTCTATTCTCTTTGTGTAAAGATCACAACGGTACCCTCGAAACCTTTATCTTGTCAATAATTTGAAAGGTGTTTAATTCTAATCATTCTATATATTATTCAACAATAGAATTGCGCAAGCCACTTATAAGTATAGAAACTCCAATTGCAATAACCAATTGTCGAAATTGAAATATTAGATATATGTAAGCTTTTTCATATACTTATCCAGACAAAGCTATAAAAGAAAATCAGACACTGTCATCTCCGGCGAAACGCTACAATTAAAACAATTAAGTTTATTAATCTGATATTTTTTCACTGAAATATTTTTTTTTGGTTTAGAAAGTTAAGAAAGTAAAGATAGCAAAACAAATCAGTCAGAGTCTTAAAAAACGTAATGAAAGTTCTTTTTCTCCGTTACTTAACACGTAACAATATTTCTCTTTAGTCGTTGTTGTTCTTGTTGTTCTTGTTGTTCTTATTGTTCTTGTTGTTCTTGTTGTTCTTGTTGTTCTTGTTGTTCTTGTTGTTCTTGTTGTTCTTGTTGTTCTTGTTGNTACCCAATCTTATCCTGACAATATTAAAGTTGTAAAGTTCCAGCTCATTACCCAATCTTATCCTGACAATATTAAAGTTGTAAAGTTCCAGCTCATTACCCAATCTTATCCTGACAATATTAAAGTTATAAAGTTCCAGCTCATTACCCAATCTTATCCTGACAATATTAAAGTTATAAAGTTCCAGCTAATTACCCAATATTATCCTGACATTATTAAAGTTATAAAGTTCCAGCTTATTACCCAATCTTATCCTGACAATATTAAAGTTATAAAGTTCCAGTTAATTACCCAAGTTTACATTACATAATGCTATGTTTATGAAAAACAAATTGATAGTGATGTGCGAAATGATGATAAAGATGTTCAAAATCTTGATAGTGATGTCCAGAATGTTGATAGTGATATGCAAAATCTTGATAGTGATGTGCAAAATCTTGATATTGATGTGCAAAATCTTGATAGTGATGTGCAAAATCTTGATAGTGATGTGCAAAATCTTGATAGTGATGTTCAAAATCTTGATAGTGATGTGCAAAATCTTGATAGTGATGTGCAAAATCAAGTTTATTATCAGAAATGACATCATATAATTTACCTTTTATTTATTTAATTTTTTCAAAACTTTATTTCAAGAGAAAACAAGAAAAATTGAAAACGCCTGATTCAATTTGAAAGAGTTTGAGAAAAAAAACTAAAAATACATTTAAGATTTTTGATCTTTTAAACGTTCCACAAGTATCTAAGAGGTTTAAAAGACTTAAAAATTGGTTATTATAAACATCTGCTTTTCTTACGCTAAGTTTTAAAGCTAGAAAAAGATGTGTGCAAAAAATCGTTTTTGTGTTTTAGCCTTATATTTTTTTAATAGTTTTATTTTTGTATAGTTTCATAAAAGCAAACTTTTACAGAATAAAGTTTTGGAATGTTGGAAACATAAACAAAAGTCTAAAAAAGGATAGACAAACATGATGTTTTGCTATAATGGTCCATCATTATTTAAATCCAAAGTAACAACAAAAATTAAATCCAACAAACGTAACAAGAGAAGCATTAGGGTCTAAGCAGAGATTCAGTTCAGTATTTCTATCGACTAACCTTATCTCTTGAATAACTGTAGAAGAGGGTCTAGGATGCGGATTAGAATTATGGTCAGAGCTTCTAGATCAAAAACCATAAAATAAGAAAGTTTTATGAATCTTTGAAAGAAAAAAATATTTGGTTTACCCCCAAAAAGCAAAAATATATTGTAAAGCATAACATAATGCAATGAATTAGAAGGAAAAAGTTTAAAATTCTGATCTCCCGCATTTTCAAAATTAATAGTTTTCGAAGATTTTTCATAATTTTTTTTTTGCAGAATTGTCAGAGCTACGAGGACAACATTTTTTCAGAGTAGGTTTTAAATTTTTTTACCAATCCCCCCCCTTGTTCCACTTCATTCTTTTATATATATACTTTGCTTGTATGCCTGTTTGCTTGTCTATATAATAAAACAAGACATTGATATATATGTTGCCTATAGCCGCTCAAACGGCTGGACCGAATGGACACTCATGTGTGGCCAGGGAGTGTATTTTATTAGTTTTTTTTCAATGTATACGAAGAGAAAATGTTCACAATTAAAATAGAAGATGGGCGCAAAGCGCTCTTAATACCTAGCGATATAGAAATGAAGTTATTTTTATCTGAAATTGCTGTCTTTGATTTAAAAAAAAACACCTTGCTACAAAATTTAGTATTTTTAGTTAGACATTTTGTTAAAAAGGCACTTAATAAGAACAATTTCAAAGGGCCCGGCAGGTGGGGGCTTCGGTGGGGGCTTCAAAAATTGATTTTCGGCCTATGTTGAAAATGGTTTAACCGTTTAAATCCCTCAAAAAATAATGTTATACACGTAGCATATATGTCGCATTGTCAAAACCCTCTTTATTGATATTCTGCGTATTTAGAAACCTTCCCAGCATCTTAACCATTGATTCAATGCATTGCACCTTCTAACATTGAATCTGAGGCCTTTTCTACGAAGAGGGGGGGGGGCGGTAAGGGAAGGGATGCCCCCCATACCCACCACCACCCGTTTATATACACTCAATACACTTTAAGTTTATTGATATTGTTTTTCCTTTTTCTTTCTGAAATTTTGGAAGCACCGGCAAAGAATCCTGAAAAATAAGATTTTCAAAGCCTTAAAAACACCGTTCCCATTTTTTTGTTACAAAAGAAAATGAAAACGAAATCAAACAAGTTTGGTGACATTTTTATCTCTTTTAGAAACCGAAAATACAGAATAACTCTTACTACAGTAATTTTATTTTCATTATACATGTTTATAAAAAACGAAAAGTAAATATTTAGGGGGGGGGGGCAAATATACGGCCATTACAAACCTGGAATGAATGCTTCCAAAACTGCAAGTGATGCGTTAAAGTTCTCTAAGATACCAACTACACTATATTCATGCTCAATGTTGTACTAAAATTAAAATATTTAATTAATCATTTAGAAAATCTTAATTAATATCACACATATTAGTCTACATATTAGATATTATAAAACGTCTTTCCGCTGGAATTCTAAACGATACATTGGCTTTTTCTCCGGTCATATCTTTGAAAAGTAAGAATAATTAGCTAATCGGCTAATAAGTTTACCATGAAATTACCAAAATAAGTGAACAGTCCCTGTAACCCTTTACTCTCTTATCCCCTTTGTCATTAAATTATTTAAAACGTTTTACCGCGTTAACATTTTAAATCCCCCCCCCATTAACCTCTTAAATATTTTACCCCTTTTACCTTTTAATCCGTTAAACCTTTAAGCCTTTAAACCTTTGTTCCTTAATTCGTTAAATTTGTAACCCTTTTATTACTTCAAACCTTTAAACCTTTATACATTTAATTCTTTTAATTTAAACCTTTAAACCTTTAAATCTTTAAACATGTAAACCTTTAATCCCTAAACCTTTAATCCTTTAATCCTTTAATCCTTTAATCCTTTAATCCTTTAATCCTTTAATCAATCCTTTAAACCTTTTATCCTTTAAACCTTTAATCCTTAAAACCGTTAATACTTAAAACCTTGAATCCTGTAAACCTTTAATCCTATAAACCTTTAATCCTTTAAACATTTAATCCTTTAAACATTTAATCCCTTAAACCTTTAATCCTTTAAACCTTTAAACCCTTAAATCTAATCCTGTGAACCTTTAATCCTTTAAATCTAAGTCTTTGAACCTTTGCTTTCTGTAATGCTTTCCAAGATTGACCATCTCCGCATTCCCATTCAGTTCCACAGAAGTAGGTTATCTGCAACTCTTGAACTTTATCATACTGATTCACAACATTTGTATTTAAACATTTCTGTACACTCCCCCCCCCCCCCACTCTCTAAATGATTTTCTTACTTCATTCCGCTCTTAAACCATGCCTTATCTAAAATTCGACTTCGTTTTCAGAGATTTCTCTCTTATTTTTTGCATGCAGGCCTGAATTGTGACTTAGTTTTTTTACGGCTTTTTTCGGACATTTTTTCAAAAACTTTGTGTTAGGTCCCTGTAACTGGCGTCTAAAGTCATCAACATTCGGGCGGGAAACGCGATTCTTGACTCTATAATGCATTTCCCCCTGTCCTAATACCATTTCCCCCCTTTTCTCGTATTTCCCCCTCCAAAAGGTCGATGAAGCCTTCTGACTTTATTACTAAAGATTTCTCTCTGAATTTTTGCATGCAGGCCTGAATTGTAAATTGTGATCTAGTTTTGAATTAAAAACCAAAAACGTCACCATAATTTTTCCCGCATTTTTAGGACATTTTTTCTAAAACTTTGTGTTAGGTCCATGTGTAAAGTATAAAGTTATCTAATAGGGTGATAAACTTAATTCTAATCTGTAGAATACATTTCCCTTTCCCGCAATTTCCGTCCAAAAGACCGATGAAGCCTTCTTGACTTTATTACTAGAGCTCTCTGTTTTTTGCAAGCAGGCCTGATTTGGGATCTAGTTTTGAATACCAATTTGAGAAGGAAAAAGTTCCCCCGCATTTTTCAAAAATATTTCCCTTTGTTGTAAATACTACAAAAGCTTATTTATCTTACCAAAGCTGAAAACTTTAGAATGGTGGATATCAGGATTAAGGCTTAATCCACTCTTTTTCTTAATCTCCAGATTAAATATTGCTTGTTTTTCACATGACTTTAATCTTCAGATTAATTATCCGACAGGATATCTGGATATTTCATTCTAAAGTTTTCAGCTCAATATATATATATATATATATCCACCTTTTGGTTGGGGGAAATGCGGGAAAGAGGGCGGGGGAATGGTATTAGAAACGGTGAAATGCATTATTAAGTCCATAATTCAGTTTCCCGACCAAATGTTAATGACTTTTTACACCCCACACATGGACCTAACACAAGTTTTTTTGAAAAATATTATTAGAATATTTTCATTTTGTCAATTCTCACATAAAACACAATACAAATGCATTTGAAGAGGAGTGTTGTAGCAAAAACCAGTCACCCCACCCTTGACCCCCTAAAATACCGAACCATGCCCAGCAGGAATAGGGTTGACTCTTATTTTTATAAAAATTTCCAATTTCACCAATATAAAAATAATAAAAAGAGTAGATAAGTACGAATGTTCTGTTCCCTGACATTCAGGATCTTGGTTTAACACACAAACTTCTAAATCCTTTTCAAACCAACTTCTAGCAGGTCTTTCCACCCTTCAAACAGATTCAAATAGATGGTTACATTATATCCAGTGTACAGGGATACATTATATCCAGTGTACAGGGATACAGTATATCCACTGTACAGGGATACATTATATCCAGTGTACAGAGTTACATTATATCCAGTGTACAGGGTTACATTATATCCACTGTACAGGGATACATTATATCCAGTGTACAGGGTTACATTATATCCAGTGTACAGGGATACATTATATCCAGTGTACAGGGATACATTATATCCAGTGTACAGGGATACANTTTTCCTGTTTTGCACTAGGGAACAAAAAATTCCAAATTCAGGGGGAGCGAATGTCCCCCGCCCCCCTCCTGTATCCACCCCTGTGCACATCTTGGATCATCTAGGTGAAAGGTGATTTTATTCTAAAAATCTATTTTTCCATGCAATTTTTTAAAAATTTGGTTGGGGAACTCGGAAGAACCACGGGAATGTTGTCAAATTGGATTAGATATTCTAAGTTAAGATCCAGTACGGAATGAGTTGAATTTTAGTTTCATGCAAAGCTGGGTTCCCTAGCTAGTAATATGAAAAACGATAGATTAGCATAAAATTATAAATTATGGGACAGCTAATTATGTTGTTGTAGGTCAGTCAGATATAAGTTGGTTTCTTTTCTTTTATAAAGAGAGCTGTTTTTTACTAATTAATTTAAGATTTAATTGTTACTTACAATTTATTCCATCTTCCTTTGCTTCGAAGATAATAAAATTGTGAAATAACACGTTCCACTGGTTCACGAATCTACACAATATACAGTTCGTTCCACTGGTTCACGAATCTACACAATATACAGTTCGTTCCACTGGTTCACGAATCTACACANGAATATTCGACCTCATACAGTAAATTCTCCATAGCAAGAAATGTGCAAGTCAACTTTGCAGAAAACACTAAAATGAAAATAAACAGGTTTAAGAAACAAAAACATTGATACCGGAGTCATATACTTGATCAGACAAAGCTTTAAAAAATTCGGGAAAATACGGTTCGGGTCTAAGCTGTCGTTGGGCCTTCAGCTTGATCTTTTGGATTCAAGCTGCTGCTGCATCTTATTTTCCACAGAGTGGAGTTCAAAAACCGGTTTAATATTCTATTTGGCCGATTTTCATGGTAGAAATTGGCGCATTCCGGGTTTTGATGAGAACAAGACTCGACATTGAGTCAATTATTCTCCACTAAAACCAACCAAGGTCGGTTTTATTTTCATTGGGCCTAACTCCTTAAGTCAAGCCAAAGATCTTCCAGCTGTCAATCATGTAGCACAAGCTGTTGTCAGAGTTGGGTCGAAGATTGGGTCTTAATGTTAGGTTTAAGGAATTAAGGCTCGAGCCGAAGTTTTTAAATCGCGGGCTCTGACATAGCGTTATAAATTGAGTATTGCCATCTTAGCATAGAGGGTAATTTGAAATTACGCTTACAGTCCCTTTAAAGTCCCCTTAATTCTAGAACTATTTATAAATATATATATAAACCATCGAAAGAGACTGTAGGTATGTCGACGTAATTTCAAGTAACCCTCCATTTACGTGTGGCATGTCTGATTTATCCTTTTAACCGGGTAACTGGAGTGTTGAGAGCCAATCTAAATAACGTCTATAGTCTCTTTATTGGTTTACAAAATAAAATCAATATTCTAAAGTGCCTTAAATAACTTTAAATTTAATATTTAAATTCACATTATTTATGATTTTTTTCAGGGGCGTAGACAGGACATTGTCCGGAAATGACGAGGTGGTTCTAACATATAACTTTTTTACTTTGCAGGGGGAAGGTTCAAGGTATAGCCCCCCTTCCATCCCTATCTACGCCCCTGGTTATTTTGTATGCTAAACCTTCTAATATCATGAGTATGTATAAGTGTGTTTTTAGATTTTTTAAAGAAGGAAAATATATTCTTACTTGTTCCATGGAAACAAGATCGAGCATTACTAGATGTTTTGTAACATATTATGATGACGTATCTTGTTTATAAATCGTTACTATGTTGTTTGAATATTCAGAGAAACTGCAACAAAAACTCAATCTCTTCTAACAAAAGATTTAGAGGAAGGAAGGAAGGAGAGAAAACAGGTTTTTTATCAGGTTTTCATAAACAAATTCTCTATTTTTCATGTTAAAACATAGTTTTTTCGCATTATCAAGCTACCCGAACCATTTCGAAGTTACGGCCATTTTGTTAGAAATTAGGAACAACATTTTTGTGATATCTCCCAAATTTGTATATTCCCAACATTTTGGAAGAATTATCGAACATAAACTTCGTTATAACAAATGTCAACGCTAATATTAAGCATCTCCAAGTTGTTCCAATAGAATTAAATTTTAAAAGTGAATTAAGACGAATACTAAAAAGTTATTTACCATATTAATGAGTATCGGTTGTATGCCTAACCTAAAAATAAAAGATAGAAATTATTTTGTTTAAAAGGGAATTTTGGAAATGCGCCATTGTTTCTAAATTTGTTAAGACAATGGAAAAATATGAAAGAGCTAATTGTGTTCGGAATCTAGCATGCTTCCGCAACATGTTAATGCGTCGCTAGTTTAAATATAACATAAAACAAATAATCCATCCATCGTTAAAAATGTTAATCTTATTATGGAGACTGAATTTGGCAGTGATGTGAGATTATAGATTAGTAACAATACAGATAGAACACTAGGCAGAGGCCCAAAAGATTTACGTGCATGCTCTCTCTATCTTGTAATTCAACGCTGCCTGCGCGGAACTCCTTTGGACTTCTGCCTCTAGAGATCATGCATTCAATGCGTGGAAATTCCAAGCCGACGATGACCTCAGGTTCTATTTTAAACTCAAGTCAATAATCTGGCTCTATGAGGTGGCATGAATAGAACTGGCCAGGCTAAAGCCGAGTATATCGGCAGTCTCGGCGAAGAATTGAAGGAGGAAGGTTGATTCGCCATATGAAGCGGAAGAAAGGCGGAGAGTCCGTCAAAGCTCCGGCTTTATTCCAATAAGTGTATCGAATTTTATATGGTTTTTATGCTGTAAATACATCTTTTCCTATGCTTTGTAGACTTATTCATGTCAGTTCATGCGTTAACTTTTCTTCAACTCGTAATTGTAAAAGAAGGTTTGCTATTGAATATTCGACCTCATACAGTAATCTTAAAGTTTGAATGCGTTGCTGTTGCAAAAAATTGTCATTTACGATAAAATAGTTTCACGAGGGGAGGAAGCCCAGCCACAACAACTTCTCTTCCGAGCCACATTCTCCTCATTTTCTCGTCCGAACCACCTCGAAATCCTTGTCCTTCGATAATTATGTGTTTAAAAGTTTCTAATTCTTGTAGATACAACTATAGTGCATAAAAAATGGGTAGACTAAATTATTGCAATGCTAAATCATGTTTGAAACTTTAGATATGAGAATGATGTCAACTTTATTAAGGTAAAACTGAAAACTATTCTGCCTCCGTAATGGCCAACCTTCGCGATATGAAATAAATAGCAAAATATTTGGCTCTGCCTATCATTTTCCCCATGGATCCGCCCGAAAAAAATCTATGGTCTTCACTATAATTAACAAAAAAGATTAAAGTTCTATAACCTCGGAATTATTTGGGGCATTCTGAACCAGGACTATCTGAAAATGCGCCCAATAAAGGTGAACATTTTTAAAGACATAGAACTCGAAAACTTCAATTCAATTGAAACTATTTTTTTCAATTTACTAAAATTCAATATTCTATTTATGCCCTAACGTGGCCCGATTCTTGGAGGACAAGACACTTCTAAAAAATAATATTGGAAGGACGAGGATTTAGAGGTGGCTCGGACTAAAAAATTTTGTGGCTGGCCTTCCTCCCCTCGTTTCACCCTTTGTAAAGAAATATTATTCAAAACATATTTTACCGTTTCCAGTCCACGTAGTAAAAATGTCGATCAAAGACGACCTTCTCTCCTGATTCACTAATTTTCCTATTTGAAAAAAAATCTTCTATTAATACTGTTTACAATAATGGAATTTTCATGGCCAAGAAAAACTGAATTCTAAAATAATTTATCAGTTTTATGTCATTTCGTTCAATTTATAGAAAAAATTAAGCTTACTTATATCTAAAACTACATGTTGTAAATGCTGAAATATTTCAATGTTTTATTTTTAAATGAACCATTTAAACTATTTCTGATCCATACAATTATTGACCTCACTTTTGTTGTATCATATTTCAAGACTGATTATTAAACTAACCTACTCAAAATTTGAAGTTCAGCCATGAAAGCAAATAAATATAGCTGTCATTGTGTATCAATCAAGGGTATATAGAGAAAGAAGGGCGCGAAGCGCTTTAGATCTCAGTATTGAAAAGTATGCACATATTTGATATTAGATTCATCCTTCTTATTGGATCTTCCAGATCAAAGTAAAAATATATAAAATTCCAAAAAAATAAAGATAAAATCAGCATTTTGGATTCGTACTTTTTTTTCAAATACAAGAAACATAATTTGAAAGTCCAAAGAAATTGAGTTTTTTCAACAATCTCTGATTTTCTAATTTCTATATCTTAACAACCTTATATCTTATTTCAATCAATGAATTCTGTTTGATCAAATAGCCTATTTTTAAGATATCAAAGGATACACCATCAGGTTCCAAAGATATAGAGATTAAAAACTTGAGGTTGTGACAAAGACTCATTTCCTTTAGTTAAACTAAACATGGAAAATATTTTTTCAGTCGTAAGGTAATCGTGATTATTTCATTTATTCAAATTATTATTTTTTCATATTTTTACATTCAAATTGTTTTATTCAAATTATCATTTATTTATATTCTTATTATTCAAATCATTATTTATTCAAATTGTAATCTATTCATGAATGATTTATTAACACTTGTTATATGGAAAGGTGTATATGATCGAATAGTTTAAATCAAGGAGATACTGAATAGAAGGAGGGGACGATAGGGTTTCCGTACACTTTGCTGTGACGTTTTTGGACTGGTGAAGAACTAGTTTTTGCGTAAAAACAATAATAAAGATTGTAAACAAGAACACAAATAATAAACAGAAATCTAGGGAGAGGTGAGGGAGAAATGAAATTTAGAGGAGGTAAACAATAGGCTGCATTATTTCAATGTAGAAACCATTTGAAATTGTGTCTAAAACGTTCTTTGTATGACGTGGAATTGGCAGATTTTCTGTACAGTTACAGTGCATGTATTTTTATACAGTTACAGTGTGATTATTCTCTGTACAGTTCGAGTGTGTATTTTCTGTTCAGTTTGAGTGTGTATTTTCTGTACAGTTAAATTGTTCAGTTTCTGTACAGTTCTAGTTTATATTTTCTATACATTTAAAGTGTGCATTTTCTTTACAATTTAAGTGTGCATTTTTCGTACAGTTAGAGTGTGTATTTTCTGTACATTTATAGTGTGAATATTTTCTGTACAGTTAGAGTGTGTATCTGCTTTATAGTTAGAGTGTGTGTTTTCTGTACAGTTAAAGCGTGTATTTTCTGTACAGCTAAAGTGCGTATTTTCTGTACAGTTAAAGTGCGTATTTTCTGTACAGTTAAAGTGTGTATTTTCTGTACAGTTAAAGTGTGTATTTTCTATACAGTTAAAGTGTGTATTTTCTAATACATGAGTCAGGACTCGAGGTGATCATGTGGCGTAACATAATATTTCTAATCTTAAACTTTATCATGTAACGTTATGAACGAAAACCATAGCAATTTAATGGCAATAAATGACTTTACCTAATACCTATGTACCTTGGCTTGTAGGGAATATAATTTAGTTTAGGAGAATACCTGAAGGATGAAGCCAGTTTGATGTTTTCCTCAAAACTGATGATAATATTACAAAATAATAAGGATTTGAAATAAAAAATGCGTTAAACAAATGTATTCCAGTTGGCACGTGGTTTTAAATGTACCTTTTATTAAAATTTCCAGTTGAATTTAAGAAATGAAAAATTTCTCTATGTATTTGTCAACACAAAAAACTTTATTATTTGAATTTGCTCTCAAATTTAAAATGGAACAGTTTAATTTTTGTTTAAAAAAAGAATGTTTCCAAATTTCCTGAAAGGGACTGTAAAGGAAAAAGGAAAGGGGTTATATATGATGTTCCTGTCTCGAGAAATTGATATAAAACAGTGTCAAATATATACGAAATTCTTATATGTATATATATACAATTTTGTATAGAAATAGTGAGTTTAAACAGATTATTTTCTGCAAATATGCAACCAATCCAAAAACGATTGTAACATAGGTTTTATCCAAATATTATTTTCTAATTTTTATATTTTTTTTAAATAGATTTTTAATAATTAATGATATTATTTATAAGTCTGTATTACGTACGTCACAAGAACTCCCGCCAATGAGAGTGCAGTATAGTGGTCACGTGTCTCTGTCTGTATCACGTGACCAGTATACTGCACTCTCATTGGCGGGAATTCTTGTGACGTAATAAGGACTCATAAATAATATCATCAATGATATCTATTGAAAATAAAAATAAAAATTATTGAATAATAATTGGAGAAAACCTTAGTTAAAATTAGGTTTCTCTGGGATATCCTCGTTTTCAGATTGGTTGCAGATTTGCTGAATATGTTCTGTTTAAACCTACTATTTCTATACAAAATTGTATATATATGAATTTTTGTGTAAATTTGACACATTTTTACATTTACTTCTCGAGATAGGAACATCATATATAACTTTCATAGGTCGTGATCAAGACCAAAAGTGATTAGCTTTCAGCCTATACCCCCTTTTATTTTTCCTTTACAGTCCCTTTAAGAGGAGTTTTACTTATTTTTAAATTGATATATTTCCTTGTCACTTTAATATGATAAACAGAAGAATGCTGGACACCAAATCTGAAAAGTATTAAGATGTAAAACCCCAGACAACTGTCGAATTGAGTGTCGTCTTTGATCTTTCTACTAATAGAAATTGAAATGTCCAAAACCTCGCCTGAAATATGGTTTGATTAAATTACACTATATTCGAATTCTTTTATCGGACTAGAAGTGTTTTTGAGAGGCAAAAAATAAAAAAGACAATTTCATCTATCTATATATTAAAGCTCTTTGCTCATATATATATATTTACTAGGATTTTAGGTTCTTCGTTCTATTTTAATTGTGAACATTTACTCTTTGATACATTGCAATACAAAAACAACAACAAAATAAATCTAAATTTTCCAAAAATCGAATTTTGTTAGAGGCAAATTTTTAAAAACTAGATCATCTATATACCTTCTCTGGGGTCACGTGGGGTTCCACAAAAAAATTGGACCCGATCGGTCAAGCCGTATTGACGTTTTTTGGAAACAAGCATCCTAACAGACAGACAAGCAAAGTATATCTATAGTTCTATGTTAGCTATAAAACTATAGCTGGCCAAATTGGCTGGAACTTTTATTCGGGAACCTATGCGTATCCGAAAAGTGACAAAGTTTTATTCGGGAACCTATGCGTATCCGAAAGTGACAAAGTTTTATTCGGGAACCTATATGCGTATCCGAAAAGTGACAAAGGCTAAAAAATTGAAATTCCTTTGGAATTACCGGGCCCTTTAGCTATAATTTTGATTTAATACAAAGCGCGTGTAAACAGGGTGAGTAAATGTAGTTTAAATTGCACCCTGCGACCGACGGGTTTCCCAACGCTCTAGCACCCTCGTACATGAAGCGATCTGGCTGACAAGCAAATTTTTGGAACAGCAGAGAGCCTGCCTATCTGGTCCTCAAATCTTGCATGACTATGAATAATAATATAAACCAGGGAAACGCCGGGCACATTAGCTGTGTGCTCATAAATCTATGACTATTTCGTCCTGTACATATTCTAGTATACATGTAAACAAGTAATCTGTATTTTTAGTACTCAATTCAATTAGATTATTTGGCCAGCTGTTTTTTTCACCTGTTTAATTTGGACAGTTTGCCTATCAGATTATTAATTGAAGTAGAGGCGCATTTTGGTACCCTGAACAATATAATATTTTGGTATCCTGAACAATATAATATTTTGGTATCCTGAACAATATAATATTTTGGTACCCTGAACAATATAATATTTTGGTACCCTGAACAATATAATACTTGTTTTTAAAGCCCTGCCTAACTCCGAAATATATATTTTCTTAATTTATCATATATTTAATAGTTTTTTTCTTCAAAATTTTCCAGAATAATGAAATCCATTAGAAAATTAAAAATTCGAATAAATGATCAAGTATTTAGAGGATTTACGGCGAAAAATAAGCGCTTTTATCGCTACTAATCTTACTTCTATCTGTTGCGTCTTTAAGGAGAAAATTGTTAAAAACGACTCAAATTCGGAAAGTTGGAACATTCAACTCGGATCGTAAAATAATCAATTTAATTCCAAACAAATCATTCAGATAATTCAAACAATAGTCATCGATTAATTTTCGACGCATTCGTATATAGTAAATATTTCAAAATATTTTTGATTTTGTTTATTGAATAATATTTCGCTGGCGTGTTGGATTTTCGAACATTCCTGGAAAATATGAAAATGTCGTCTTCATTATCAAAAATCCTCGAAACAGGAATAAATGTTTTCGAAAGTAACTCTCAGATCATGAAAAATAAAAAAGAATATTTTGAAATATTAACTATATACGAATGCGTCGAAAAAAATCGATGACTATTGTTTGTAATGTCTGTATCATTTGTTTACGATCCGAGTTGAATGTTGCATCTTTCTGAATTTGTATGGACGCTACGTTCTTCGGCTTAAGTCGTTTTTAGCAATTTTCTCCTTATAGATGCAACAGACATGAAGTAAGATTAGTCGCAATCAAAATTAATTATTTATCGCCCTAAGCCTATACCCCCTTTCATTTTTCGCGAACACTCAACTACTCGTTATTATTTTAAAAATCAGAGAACCAGCCTTATAATCTTTATCTTAGCCCTATTCCTGTAGTTTTTTTTACAAAACTCAAAAAGTATTGATTTGAGGCTGGTTACATTTTCTGACTTTTCCTAAATACCCATAGCCTTCCCTTTAGGACTAAAACTTAGCTTTTATACTAACTGCCTGAGTCCTCAGGCATACTGCCTAAATGAGCACTTTTTCCTATGTAAAACTAGATCTTTGTTTTGATCCATTTTTAGTTGTCAGATTTTGATAATTTTGAGCTTTTTGGAAAGCCTATGGCTATAACATAAAGAAGAACAACTTTTGCCAAAAAAAAGGTATGGTAACTGGTTAAGGGCTTTTAAAAAATGTATTATTTATGATTTTTACAAAATAATTCAATGTTTGCAAATTTGCAAATTTGTTTTGCAAATTCTAAAAGAAGAGCATAAGAGCTTTCCAATGATGTATCTTTTGTCATATTTGGACATCAAACATAGGATTTAGAGGGGGGGGGGGGGGGGGGTAAGAGGGGTCAACCCCCCCAGCGTATACTGTTATTCAATTCCCACTCCAGGAATAGGATTAATATAATAAAAAATATATGTTTACCTATTATATATAATAATATTAGAATTAGTTGTTCTATTTTCTGAACTAGGTTCTAATTTTCCGAATAGATGACCTAAACAAAAGGGATAACATTTCTCAGAGGAAATATTTCTTTATGGAAATATCTAAAATTTATTAAACGGCTGTCATTGTCAGTATTTTTTTTATCATTTGAATTACATTTATAATATTTACTAATTTGAAAAGCCTTTGAAAGCCGTATTAACACTACAGGGCTTGTGTAGAAAAAAAATGAGTTTATTTATTTATTATTAAAATTTGAATTAAACGTTTATTTATTACTAAAATATTTCCAAAGATTTGCGAACAAATTTTAAAATGTTAAAAATTGATTTTTTATTTTGAAATTAAAAAACTTAAGAACAAAATTAAATAAGAATAAAATAAAAATGTAATAAAAAACTACCTTCTGGTAAATGAATAGAAATATTTCTAAGTTGTTGAAAATGGTTTGCCGGTTCTCTTTTTCTTTGTTGTATATCTACTATACTCCAACCTCCACTAAAATTATTTTTATTATTATTCTTATCATTATTAATTTTACTATTAATATTACTAATATTATTATTTATATTATTACTATTACTCTTAATACTATTATTTTTTTTACTTTTGTTATTAAAATTATTATTATAATTATAATTTTATCTATCTACATAATAAAGCTCTTCGCTCATACAAATGTATGTTAGCTATAGCTGGCCAAACGACTGGACCGAATGGGCTGAAATTTTTTGAGCGAACCCATAGGTGCCCGTGAAGTAACACAGACTAAAAAAAATTCTTTTTTTCTTCAAAAATACTATTATTATTTTTATTACTATTTTTATTATTACTCTTCTTATTATCATATCATATTTACTTTTATCATTATCAATATCATTATTATTATCATCATTATCCTTATTATCATTATCATTATTAATTACTTTTATTATTACCTGTCCCAGAGTAAAGGTAATTTTTCAATATATTCTCGCATCACAGTCTCTAGAATGACCGAAAAATAAGAAAATAAGAAAATAAGAAAATAAGAATAAGAAAAATAAGATAAGTATTTCAATCAATTGTTTTTTCAATTTTATTTAAGTTACATACGATACGAAACTAACATTTTTCATCTTTCATGAAAATCTGAGAGTGTTCAGATAGACAACAGAGACATATTTTGTTGTTAAGCAAATCAACATATCTCTGAAATCAGTTGGTATAAACCTTTGATATTTCAAACTTAGATTATTTGATCTTACAAATTATTAGTTTGAAATATCTATGATCTCTACGACATTGGGTTGCCAATATAGGGATAAGAATTTTTGAGTTTGTGGCTAAAACTCAGTTCCTTTCTCAAAGAGTGAATACAATTTGTTCAACACTTTATAAAATCACCGTAAAAAAATAAAAGCCGGCATTAATGGATGATATGGGCACGAGGCGGCCTGAAGGTCTGCAGGTCATAAAAAACGCCTGTACTAACCTGTTGATGTCTGAGGTGTGTCAATCATTAATTCTGCTGATGATGTTTGAGGTGTATTAATAATAATAAAAATAGAATAAAGGACCAGAACTGTTGCTATCAACGGAATGATCAACAACTTTTGGAATCGTCTAAAAAAAATTGTGTTAATCCGAATAAGCTTGGGTGTCATTGTGTTCATTTTATGTAAATAATTTATGTAACTCTGTGTTGTCTCTCTGTATCTCTATGGTGACACTGTGTTGTCTCTCTGTATCTCTATGGTGACACTGTGTTGTCTCTATGTATCTCTATGGTGATACTGTGTTGTCTCTATGTATCACAATGGTGTCATTGTGTTCATTATATGTAATAAATTTATGGTGACCCTGTGTTGTCTCTATGTATCTCTCTGGTGTCCCTGTGTTAACTCTATATGTTGTCACTGTGTTGGCTCTATGTATCTCTATGATGTCCCTGTGTTGTCTCAATGTATCTCTATGATATCCCTGTGTTAACTCTATGTATCTCTATGGTGTCCCTGTGTTGTCTCATGTATCTGGTTGAGATCCCTGTGTTAACTCTATGTAGCTCTATGATATTCCTGTTTTAACAATATATGTGTCTCTATGATATCCTTGTGTTAACTCTATTTGTTTCTCTATGGTGTCCCTGTGTGAACTCTAAATGCGTCTCTATGATATTCCTGTGTTAACTCTATATGTATCTCTATGATATCCCAGTTTTAACTCTTTATGTATATCTATGATATCCCTGTATTAACTCTATATGTATCTCTATTATATCCCTGTGTTAGCTCTGTATGTATCTCTATGATATTACTGTGTTAACTCTATATTTATCTCTATGATATCCCTGTGTTAACTCTATATGTATCTATATGATATCCCTGTGTTAACTCTATACTTATCTCTATGATATTATTGTGTAAACTCTATATGTATCTCTAGGATATTTTCATATTGTCAGTGTCGTGTCAACATGTTCTCTAAATGTTTCTGAGTCTAGATTTACAATTTTCTTTTCAATTTATTATCTTTATTTCTTTTTCTCATTTTATACTTTCAAGAGCTCGCTGTATTGATTGGAACTTGTCAATGTAAGTCTTGGTAGATTTTAGATTTTATTTCTTTAAGTTTGCAAGACACTTCTTTCTTTCAGTGATTGAATATCAAAAACACAAACATATAAATAACTGTTTAGATCTATATATTTTGACCATTTTTTTGTTACACCTCACTTGATTTCGGTATTGAAATAGAAAGTCCTTGCCAATGCCATGCAACACAAGGTAATAAAACATTTTATGGAAAGATGCAGTGAATGCTAACATTTTGGAGTACATATATATTAATAGTATTTTGATGGAATATGGAAGTTTATGAATTAAACGCCTATTTTATAAACAATAAGGGGCCGGCTATCGAGATGTAATTATTTTTGAGGCTATTTGAAGAACACGAAGGGGTTAGGAAAAAATTTCACATTAAAAAGGTGTCATTTTTAAGTTTTTCTGTTTTGTTATTCTAAATCTAACATACTTAAAATGCGTAATGGTATTAAAGGAGTTCATCTTTGATTATGTTCTTGATTCTTGAAAAAGTTTTATAAGAAAATCTGAAAAAAGAACACAAATTTAAGTACAACTTTAATCTGATAAAAATAATTATATCTTTGGCCAAATTCGGGGTTTGTTGACTGGTCAATTTACCTCAATTTGTAAAAACGCATTTAATTCCCGTGATTTTGAAGCCGGTTACACTGTAAATCTTCCAAACGAAATAACGCTATTTTAATCTGATAAACAAATTTTTCCTTTTATGACAATTTATCGTTTATATGTATGTATATTGTATATGTACCCACAAAAAATGAGACTTCAGAGACGATTGTACAGAATTAGTACCTCAGCTCTGTTTTCTTATATTTATTACTCTCTGTAACCGTAAACTTGTTTTTTTTGTTGACCTAATCATTTAATAAACCATTAAACGGTTGTATTTAAGATAGAAGACTTAATTTAACATTTTAATCGTCAAATTTAAAGTCTTTAAAGTGGTTCTTTTGTTGGAAACCCCATGAATATGACATAAAAAGTAAGAAAACACTATAGTTTTTGAATTCCCTATTCTTTGCAACCTTTGATAATCCAAGCGTGGACTTTGTATTGTAAATCTTGGAACTAAGCATTCATCTTCATCATATACAGGAATACGATTTAATTGTACGTATTCCCACGGGCAGCCAGCGTACATTTGAATTTCAGAGCTGGGTCAACCTTTCCGGTCCCAATTTGTACTATATCGCCCGGACATTGGGTAAGTGAAGCAGACACTCAATAGAACTAGCCGGTGCAACAAGGTTGACACAATTTGATTTACTTTTATTAAAGGGTCAGAGGTGCATGTTCCTCTTCCATATTCCCTGGTAGTCTTGCCTTGCAGGGATACCTTTGATAGAGGGATCAAGGCATTTATTCTAAAATTAAAAAGTGCGTTTTATGTCGAGAACGGGAGTTTAAAGATATTCGATATTCCACTGAGTATGAACCACATAAAAGTTCACTGGATGTCAAGAACAAGAGTATAAAGATTTTCGATATTCCACGGAGTAAGGGCCACATAAAAGTGCATTGGATGTCAAGAACGAGAGTATAAAGATTTTCAATATTCCATGGAGAACATACCACACAAAGGTTCATTGGATGTCAAGAGAGTATAAAGATTTTCAATATTCCATGGAGAACATACCACACAAAGGTTCATTGGATGTCAAGAACGAGAGTATAAAGATTTTCAATATTCCATGGAGAACATACCACACAAAGGTTCATTGGATGTCAAGCACGAGAGTATAAAGATTTTCGATATTCCACGGAGTAATGACCATACAAAGGTTCATTGGATGTCAAGAACGAGAGTATAAAGATTTTCGATATTCCACGGAGTATGGATCACATAAAAGTGCATTGGATGTCAAGATCGAGAGTATAAAGATTTTCAATATTCCATGGAGAACATACCACACAAAGGTTCATTGGATGTCAAGAACGAGAGTATAAAGATTTTCAATATTCCACGGAATATGGACCACATAAAAGTTCATTGGATGTCAAGAACGAGAGTATAAAGAATTTCGATATTCCACGGAGTAAGGACCACACAAAAGTGCATTGGATGTCGAGAACGAGAGTATAAAAATTTTCAATATTCCACGGAGTATAGATCACATAAAAGTTCCCTAGATGTCGAGAACGAGAGTATAAAGATTTTCGATATTCCACGGAGTAAGGACCACATAAAAGTGCATTGGATGTTGAGAACAAGAGTATAAAGATTTTCAATATTCCACGGAGAACATGCCACATAAAAGTTCATTGGATGTCGAGAACTAGAGTATAAACGTAAAGATTTTCAATATTCCCCGGAGTACGGACCACACAAAAGTTCATTGGAAGTCGAGAACAATTTAATTGAACGATCGTTCATTCTAGAAAACAAACGAAATAGATATAATAAATGTAGGATAATTTTGAAAACGAACGAACTAAAATTTTTTCTCTGAACGACTGAACAAAATGGGTTGTTAATGAACGAAAAACGAATGAATTAAAAGAAAAGTTGAAAAGACAAACGGATTATTAGAAAATAATAGTTTGAGGAAAATGTTCAGTTCCTCGCGGAGATAAGGTTTAAGAAAATATAAAATGGAATCTTTTGGAGGTTCTTGGAATTATTATCTTTAATTACTTTAAAAATTGTATCCAACAGATTAGGAAAAGAAAAATATAGCAAAAATCCATGACAGGGTGTGACAGTTATTTTTACATTCCACAATTTATATTCAACATATCTACTTATCTGAAACAACTTCTCCAGATAAGATTCAACGCATTTCTTTTGGTAAGAATAAAATTTCTCAAGCCTGTTGTTTTCCATAAACAATATTTGAAATATATACTTTTTTCAACCAATTAAAGCATACATTTTGGATATCAAAACTTTTTAAAGAAAAGTCTGTTTTTAAAAGTCAAAATTGCGGAGACAAAACCCGGTTTTTGTGACGATCGAAGATTACTAATTCACAACTGCTGACAAAAGCATAAAAATATAATTAAATGTTATTGTAAAAAAAATTGAATCCAAAAAAGACGTTGTTTTCCTAAAATCAAACAATTTTGAAAATTTCGAGAAAAAAACCTAGTACGATATTTAGCGGCTTTAGGTCGGAAGCGTCCTCGAGTCACATGTAAATTTTTTTTTATAAAAAAAAATTTCTAATGTTTTTTGTATATGTTTCTTTAAAAGTCAAAAATTAATGAAAAAAAATTCTACAAGCTATTCGATTTTTTATTTGCATATAAATCTGGTAAAAGCAATCGAGATTACGCATGTAGGATTATAATTTTTGTTATATTTCATTTTAAAAAAAAAACATATAATTTTAGTAAGAAACCGCTCTGATTTAGAAAGTTCGGAAACAGAAAATAAACTACATTTTCTAATTGTAATGTAATGTATAAAAAATAATCGACATAAAATGAACAACGCGCAGTTCCTTTTAAAGATTTGTCAAATTAAGAATGATTTCCCTCTAAAAAATCGATATTCTTAAATTTTGAGTTTTCTATAAAAATGTCTCACGGATTTCTTGTTCTAAGAAGAAAAAAAAATATTAGAATTAAACACTTTTTAAGCTAAATATCGGGAATATTTTCAACATTATTGGTAAAATAAATGTGTACATTATAGGGTACCTTTGTTAATCGAGTATAATCCTCTTTTAATTGAGGTTTATATGAAATTACCCCCTTAAAAAACTAGTCATCAGCCTGGTAAAATAGTTTTATGTATGTACGCATACGTTTGATATGTTAATAATTAATAACCTTAAGCAAACACAAAACCAGACCACGACTTAATAAAAATCATAAAATATTAACGTATTTTATAAAACATGGCATGGTTCATTTAAAAATCTAAATATGTTATTCCCATTTTTAATTTGTTTGTCAACAAAAAATTCGTAATAAAATCATAACAATTTGACTTAATCAGTCTCCAGAAACTTAAGAGAATTAAGTAAAATATGATTTTAAAAGAACATCACAAAAATTAATTTTTTTTTATTTATTCCGCTTTGACTAAAAGGAATGATGAACATTAAAAATTTAAACAATTTCGATCAATTCAACGTATTAATAAATGAACGGGCAATCATTTTATAGATTGAACCCGTCCATGGCCCTAATCAGAGCACAGTTATTTCGAGGATGAGAGCCGAAAAGACGAAGAGTTTTTTTCCAAGAGATCTGAAACTTAGGATTATATGTTCGGCTAGTTTCCGATATATTTCGGATACATAGTGTCCCGTTTAAAATGAGGAAGGGTTTATGTATGTTCTGAACACCTATCACGAAATAAAAACTGTGACTAAACTATCCTGTGATTAAACATATGTTGTAGATAAATATTTGATATTAAGACCCTTGATGAAACCCATAGAACACCTGTAAATCAAAGTTTAATGCATAAAGTATAATTTACCTGTGAACTAATTAAAGCATAATTTTGGAATAAATTAATTTCAATTCTTTTAACTGAAACCGTTCCCAGAATCCATTAATATTTCTCGCATATTTAATTTGGGTTTAGCGAACACTCACTTTAAGTACCAATTGTGTTGATATTGTGAACCCAACCAAGAGTTCAGCCACATGTACATAGTGCCGTATAAAGTTATTGCTCCCAGTTGGAGAAATAAAGCCAAACAAATTCAACCTAAGAATAAAGCCAAACAATCCGGCCAGATCGAGTCCAAAAGGGTATCGAACCCCGAGTATGTTTGCAGGGTAAGCGGACAAGGGTATTGTTAATCCCCTTTCTCATCTGGAGATATCAAGTTGGTTGATTGTTTTTTCTGAAACGACCGTTTTTATAAAGTTCGTCGTTTTGTTAACGATCGTTAACGACAACCCTACGTCAACGACGACCCTTTGTTGATCGTTAACATATTCAATGACAACCGTTTTTATAAAAATCATCGTTTTCAATGACGATCGTGATCCGTTTTCTAAAAGTTAAAAACAAGTGGGTCGTTTTCAAAAACGATTGTTTTTTTTCCGAAAACAAAATGATCGTTTTTGAAAACGATAGAAAAATTAAACAAAAAACGATCGTTTTATAAACGATTAACAACCCTATGTGCAACCATGCTTTGTTATTCCACTCAATCTTGGCTTTTTAATACTCAATTCTTTTCAAATCTATATGGTGGCATGCCCCAATTTTCGAGTACGCCTTTAAAAGTTCATTCTAGCCAGATTGTTTTGTTTAACACAGCATCTAGTCGTCTTTGTGTATCGATTCAACACTAATCGGTAAACAAAGATGACTAAAGAGTGCACTGTCAGAAAACCATCAGCGGTATTTGGGATTTGAATAAATAAATTGTTTTTATTTTTGCAGACAGTTTATTTCACAATTTCCTGTTCATTGTTCAAGTTTTCAGTGATTGAAAAAGGAAATAAAAATACATATAATAACAATAATTTATTCTCCCAAATCTGACATTAAGCAATAATGTATTTAGCCTCCGACAAAGCAAGTTTAAGAATTTTGTTTTTGCAGTAATAGTAAGGACAATGTAAATAATAAATAATAAATAATCTTGACTTTCTTTTCTAAGAAAACTTTAAAATTTCTAATAAAACTTTATTTAGTTGTGAACTGCAGAGGAATATGTATATTTTAATGCTGCTTTGGTTGGAAGCCAGAATAGTTTAATATCATTACTCAGCATGTATATAGATCCAGACAGATAGGAAAAGTTGCATCAAATTTAAAG